ACCTTGGGCAAGTCACTTAATCCCAATTGCCTAAAGATTTAAAAAAAAAAGGAAAAAAGTGAGTGTTGTGTCAATCGACTCTGATTGGTTAACAGGTAAGGACAGAGAATATTTTAATGAGAGGCAGACCTATTCAATGAAAGGCTGATGAATTTTGATTATATCATTTACTTCCAAACCACTCCCAGCCTTGGACAATCTTATCAAAGAATTTATCCCCCATCCAAACCTGAATAGAACACAGTGGGCTTCCTTCCCCCTCAGGGTCGGGCCTGAACAAGAATGAGAAAATTAATCCAATCTCATTATCAGCAACATCTTACAGATGCTGGCTTGGCCTAATAGAGAAAAAGGTTTTGGAAACCTTTTTGGAGACTCCTGTGTCTCCCCAATATTAACAATGAGTTATTTAACAATCATTTCTCTCATTTCCTCATTTGATTCTATTGAGAGACATAAGTCTCCTCAATGAATCACTAACTAATATGACAAACACTTCATCAGGGGTTTCTAACCATGGGTCTTATGAGGAGAAACAATGTGAGGGGGCAAAGAAGGAGAAATTGATCTGCACTGAAAAAAATCAAAGGGTGTAAGTCCCCTTCTGTTAAGCAAAGCTTACAGATAAAAGGCACACAGGGAAAAGGCAAATAATAATAATAAAACATATATGTATAAGCTTATAGATAATAATCTTTTTTTAAATTATTAACAGCATCTAGGCCTTGGAGATTTAAAAGTTATCATTAGTGATTATAAATCTGAATTTGATTTGATTTAATGTGTAATCTGTCCTGAAGGAAATCAGAATGTGGTCTGTTCTCCTATCAGGATAATTATGGTAAATAAGAACTTAATATAAAAGACATTTGCTATTTGGCATTAAGAAATTTATTAGCTGTGTGACCCCAAGCAAGTTACCTTATGTCTATTTACCTCAGTTGACTATTCTGTAAGGGGATAATAATAGGCCCCACCTCGCAGGGTTGTTGTGGGAATCACATGATTATAAAGTGCTATGTTAATGTTAACTGTTTTATTATTTCTTTAATTAGATATAATTGCTTCATACTTGATGACTTTATATAGGATTTTAGATGTGATCAGTATACAATGCCAATGGTGATGAGATGAATGATTTTCTGCGTAAGGTAATTTAGAGACACATTCACCTACATTGAAGCCAGCTGACCAGTAATGGGCTTTGTTTCAAGTTTCAAATACTTAGTATTGTTTATGGTATTGTTTCATTTATACATTTTCTTATATTGTGAAATTTGGTAAACTATTATGTCAGATATGCTGTTAGAAAGGTAACTTCTTATAATCTAGAATAGATTCTAGATATTGATAGAGTAAGAATTGCACTGTTAAAAGAAGGGGGAAAAAGTCTGAAAAGTGTTGGGTCATTTTATCAGCCTTGCTGACCACCTATTGTAATATTCTGAAGTATGTGTTTAAGAACTTATAAACTTCCAGGTTTGCCTTTTTTAAAAGTAAGCTTCATCTAAAATTATTTGGCTATCACTTATCAAAATTTTGAGATTGTTAACTAAGTTATTTGGAGGTTTACAGGAATTGGCCAATGTTGTTTTTCTAGGGGTTTGAGTAAACTATCACATATTCACTATCTATGTGGGATTCCAGAATATAATTATTTTCTTGATTTCTAGTAATATATTTTATACCAGGATGAGTTTATACTCTAGGAGAAGACAAAAGGAAGAAAGTGCTATTGACTAAAATTTTAAAGGTTTGGTAAACTTTGTTATTGTGATAAGGCTAATTTAATTGGGTATATTTTTGGCATTGCTTCATGAGAAAACCTGAATCTCCTTCCCAATGCCAACACTTTTTGACAAGGGGGGTAATGAGGAATTTTTGATAATTAGAAATTTGTTTTGTTTTTATGGTACTTTGGGGATTTATTTATGATATATGAAGACATCTTATACCAACTTAGTTTTGATAAATTCTAATTTTAAGGATTTATTTTTGCTTTATGGTTAAATAAAAGATATCTATAAGTTTAGAGGTTTCCAATTAATTTATTTAATTATTCTAATTATTGCCTTTTAACATCAGGGTAAATTTTAAGCTGTTTTTAAGAAAGAGAAATACTAGAAAGGAATATTTAAGTAAAAAAATCTTTTGTGTAAATTTGTAAGTAAAAAAACTATGTGATTTTTAAAAAGGCTGATAAATTTTATTTGTAAGCCAATTTATTGCAACAATTTTATGATATTGATAATAATTGTGTCCAGTCCTACTATAATTAGTGAGATTTTAGTGTTTGAGGAAAAAAACCTTTTTTGGGAACCTGAATATTCTTTTTGAGTTTCATTTTTAGGTTTGTTGCATCCTTGGGCCAACTTAAATGGGTATTTTAAGAAAAACATCATTAGTCAGCAGCTCAATGGGAGTGACATCTGAGATCTAAGGTTAGTGAATATCTGTCCCTGGAAATAAGATAGGGAGTTTACCTTGGAAAGGCTAAGGTTGGACTCTTCTTAATTCATTTTCCCATACAAGATATCGATCTACCTGGTTCCATATATACTAGGCTTATAGTGGTATAGGTCTTGAGGACCAGTTTGATGCTGTTACAACCATGTCCCTGCTTCTAAGTCATAGCAAATTTCTATTATCCAGGTAGGAAAACAGTGGGAGTTTGCCACTGAAGTACTGGATCTATTAGTTATTAGATGAATACTAAAGCATCTAAATTACTGTAATAAGCTGCAAGCGGGAAAGATTTTGCTGTTGTGATCTGAATTTCTAGTTGTTCCATGGCCTAAGCAAGAGTTAGACTAATGCTTGAACTTGTCATATGTATAAGACTCATTTCCTGCAGTATCTTATTCTTTCAGAATAATAGGAGTATAATTAGACAAAGGTAGAGAAGCTAGTGAAACAAAGATGTGAATCTATTATGTTGTAAGGTTAAAGTCAGGAACTTCTTTTGTTTATGTTTTAAGGAACTGACTTAATTTTAACTTCAATAGTCAGTTATGTTAGTGGAGACTAGGGACTTATGAGGTATCTTGTGTTACTTTAACAAGAAATCTGATGTTACTTATATTTGAGATTAGAATCTGTGTGTACAGCATGCCCTGAAATGGATGCAAACTACTTAAGATTCACCTTAAAGATATTCCCATTGTTTAAAGGGATTTTGAAAGCAGTAATCTATGTTTATGTCCATTTGAACATGGGTTAGTAACTGAACATGTTTTACTATAGACAATAGTATATTGTAATATAAGTAATATAAGCTGTTCTCTGTATACAATTTGGGATTATTATATTTACACATCACATCCCAAGTCTTTTCTTGTTTGTTATTAAGCATCTTAAAGCAAAATAATTTGTGTAACGTTGAACCTAAGAATGAAAAAGCACCTACTCACCACAAGTACTACTTATATCAATATAAATCGTAATTTTTTCATGCTGAATCTTTTACTGTTACCAATCTGAGATCATAGTCAATACTTGTTATCAAGGAAATGTGATCCTTGAGAGCTGAATCTACCCAAAGCTATAGTTATTTGAACTTGTTCTTTAAGACCTTATGGGACTGTAAGTGACATTGTTCTGAGTCTCAGTCCAGGTATGATCACCAAGAAATACTCTTAAGCCAATTAATCCATGATGCCAGTAAACCTATGGGGTTCACATCTATGAACTGTACATGGTATTCTCATGGGAAAAGTTGGGAGAACGACTCTTGGCATGACTCAATTTCTCCAGTATGACATTATGTATGTTATACAATACATACTGTTATGTAATATAGAAATAACAAACACATGTAATTTCATGTTATTTTGTATCATATAAGATGCATGTACATATGTTGTGTATCATATGATATACACACATCTCCAAAAGTCATTTCCTAATAGATGAGTGGTCAAAGGATATGAACAAATACTTCTCAAAATAATTTTAAACTATTAACAACTATATAAAAGAATGCTCCAAATCTCTAATGACAAGAGAAATACACATCAAAACAATCCTGAGATTTCACTTCATATCCTACAAATGCGCAGAGATGACAGAATGGAATAGTCAATGCTAGAAGGGTTGTACGTCAATAGGCGCACTAGTGATTTCTTGGAGGAATTATGAATCAGCATCAGTGAATCATTTTGGAAAATAATTTGGAATAATGCAAATAAAGTGACTTTGATCCAGTGATTCTGTTACAAGAAAGTCATCAGTGAGACTAAAGTCCTGATATACACCAAAATACTTGTAGCAGGCTTTTTTGTGACAGTAAAGCATTGGAAACAAAATAGACTGGAGAATGGCTTAATAAATTGTAGTACATTTTAAAAAAACTTGCTCAAGAAACTCAAATACAATAAATATAGAGAAATATGGAAAGATTAAAATGAACTCATTCAGAGTAAAGTGAGTAAAACCAAGAAAACAATATACACAATCAAGACAATAATAGAAATGGAAAAAATAACTACAAAATAATCATAAACAAATGTTGCATATAAAGAACAAGCATGGCTCCAAAAAAAGAGATATGAGAAGACATCTAATCTAGTCCTTTACAGAGTTAAAGGTCCATGAGTGTGGCTCATTGCACATAATTTCAGAATTTTTCATTATACTGATCAGTTAGCTGTTTTTTCTTCTTGTCTTTGAAAATACTTTTTGTCATATGGGATAACTTCCGGGGAAGGGAAGGGAAAGGAATACTGGGGAAAATTATGGTAATGTAAAAAAATGACATAAATAAAAACTGATTTTTTAAAATCAATACCAAGAACTAACTTACATAACAAAATCAGAGAACACATCTTTCCACTATCACTTACATATTTCAAACTACTTCACAAGCTTAACAAGATATTCCATTTCTTTTGCACAACCCAACAATTCTGTCCCCCTTTTGCACAAAGTTAATAGCTTTGTTAACTCAAAGCTGACTGTACTAAAAACACACCTTGAAGTGTGTTATCTGTTGGTATACTCACAAAGTGAACTCCTCATCCCAAGTGAAATTTGTGGTACTTTTGGTTACAGAGCTGAAGAACTTCTGAAGAGGGTCATTTAACTGAGTCACAAATACACAGTTAAGGCTACCTGCAATGAAAAGAGTGACATTTTATAATTTCCATAAAATATCCCAAATATAGTTCAATTACAAAACCCAAGAAATGGGAAAAATAGCTAAATTTTAGCCAAAATGAGTGGCAAGACAGCATTTCCTATACTAGAAATTTGACCTGTGTCCTCTAAAGATGATACACTATCTGGATGAGACAAGTCATCAAGTGTTTGGCATCTTCTTTGAAAAAACACCTCCTGGTTTTTTCATGAAGAATGCTTGAAAGTCCTCTATTTCACTGAATGACCATTTTTTTCCCCTGAAGGATTATACCCAGTTTTGCTGGGTAGGTGATTCTTGGCTGTAATCCTATCTCCAAGATGGCGGAGTGAAAGCAGTGACTTGCTTGAGCTCTCCCCCAAAGCCTTTCAAATACCTGTAAAAAATGGCTCTAAACAAATTCTGGAGCAGCAGAACCTACAAAAAGAGTGAAACAAATTTCTAGCCCAAGACAACCTGGATGATTGATTGGAAAGGTCTATTGTGCCTGGCCAGGAGAGGAACACAGTTCGGCTTGGGTTCACAGGCAAAGACCAGGCCTCAGTGAACCCGGAGCAGGACCCAGGGGACTGAATCACTAGCAGCTGTGGCAGTTTCCAGACTTCTCAACCTCCAAATGCCAAAGACAACTTAGAAGGTCAGTAGGAAAAGTCTGTGACCCTGTGAGAGAGAAGCTAGGTTCCAGCCCCAGTCCTGGCGCAACCCTGGAGCAGTGGCTGCTTCTGGAGCTCAGCCCACAGACAGAGGGGGGATCAAGTGGCTTAAGAGAGAAGGATTGGAGGCATTTCTTTGCTGGTGCTGAGGCAGGAATCTCTTGCTTTGCCCTGCTTGGATCTGGGTCACAGTTCTGGGTGGCAGTTGTGGGGCAAGGAGGAGTTCTGGCCTGATGGAGCTTGTAGTGATGGTACAGATAGAATCCTCCTCAAGTTCCAAGGCAGGAAAGAGTGCTTGTGGTCACTCATAGACCAGAGCACAGGCCAAGAAAGGAGTAAACACCTCACCCCTTATCATACCACCTGGAAGAACTGAAAACTTACAGGTCCCTAGAAGTATCTCTGAAAACAGTTGCACAAAACCCCCAAAGCTTGGGACAGTACATCCTACACCCTGGAAGCAGAACCCCACCTTAACAAAGAGTTCATCACTTAAGTAATTGGCTTCGAATATGAGCAAATTGAGCAAAAAAAAAAAAAAGGTCAGACTATAGAATCTTTCTTTGGTGACAAAGAAAATCAAAACATACAACCAGAAGAAGACAACAAAGTCAAAGCTCCTATATCCAAAGCCTCCAAGAAAAATATGAATCAGTCCCAGGCCATGGAGAGCTCAAAAAGGATTTTGAGAAGCAAGTAAGAGAAGTAGGAAAGAAGAAGGAAAAACTGGGAAGAGAAATGAGAGTGATGCAAGGAAATCATGAGAAACAAGTCAACAGCTTGCTAAAGGAGACCCAAAAAAAATACTGAAGAAAATAACACCTTAAGAAATAGCTTAACCCAAATGACAAAAGAGGTCCAAAAAAGCCAATGAGGAGAAGAATGCCTTCAAAAGCAGAATTGGCCAAATGGAAAAGACAGTCCAAAAGCTCATTGAAGAAAATACTTCCTTAAAAATTACAATGGAGCAAATGGAAGCTAGTTATTTTATGAGAAATCAAGACAGTGTAAAACAAAACCAAAAGAATGAAAAAATAGAAGATAATATGACATATCTCATTGGACAAACAATTGACCTGGAAAATAGATACAGGAGAGATAATGTAAAAATTATTGAAATGAAAGCCATCATCAAAAAAAGAGCCTAGACATCATCTTTCAAGAAATTATCCAGGAAAACTGCCCCGATATTCTAGAACCAGAAGGCAAAATAGAAATAGAAAGAATCCACTAATCACCTCCTGAAAGAGATCCCCAAAGGAAAACTAGGAATATCATAGCCAAATTTCAGAGTTCCTAGGCCAAGGAGAAAATATTGCAAGCAGCCAGAAAGAAACAATTCAAGTGTTATGGATACACAATCAGGATAACACAAGATTTAGCAGCTTCTACACTAAGGGAATAGAGGGCTTAGAATATAATATTCCAGAAGTCAAAGGAGATAGGATTATAGCCAAGAATTGCATACCCAGCAAAACTGAGTATAATCCTTCAGGGGAAAAAATGGTCATTCAGTGAAATAGAGGACTTTCAAGCATTCTTCATGAAAAGACCAGAGCTAAATAGAAAATTTGACTTTCAAATACAAGATTCAAGAGAAACATGAACAGGTAAACAGGAAAGAGAAATCATAAGGGACTTATTAAAGTTGAACTGTTTATATTCCTACATGGAAAGATGATATTTGTAATTCATGAGACCTTTGTCAGTGTTAGGGTAGTTGGAGGGAAAAAATTATATGTATATAGATAGATAGATAGGGGAGAGAGAGAGAGAGAGAGAGAGAGAGCGGGCACAGGGTGAGTTGAAGATGAAGGGTGATATCCGGAGAATAAAATTAAGGGGTGAGAGGATTATTCTGAGAGAAGGAGAAATGGAGAGGTAGAACGGGGTTAATTATCTCACATAAAACAGACAAGAAAAGACTTTTATAGTGGGGGGGAGTGGGGGAAGGTGAGAGGAAATAAGTGAGTCTTATTCTTATCGGATTTGGCTTAAGGAGGGAATAACATACACACTCAATTGGGTATGGAAATCTATCTTACCCTACAGGAAAAGGGGGGAAAAGAGGATTAGATAGCAGGAGGGATGATAAAAATTGGGGAAGGGGTAATCAGAACCAAACACTTCTGAGGAGGGACAGGGTCAAAAGAGAGAATAGAATAAATGGGGGGCAGGAGAGGATGAAGGGAAATATAGTTAGCTTTTTACAACATGACTACTATGGAAGTGGGTGGGGAGGGAGGAAGGGAGAAAATTTGGAACCCAAAGTTTTAAAAACAAATGTTAAAAATTGTTTTCACATGCAAGTGGGAAATAAGATATACAGGCAATGGGGTATAGAAATCTATCCTGCCCTACAGGAAAACAGAAGGGGAAGGGGATAAGAGAAGTGGATGGAGAGATGGAAAGGGAGGGCAGATTAGGGGAAGGGGTATTCAGAATGCACACTGTCTTGGGGAGGGAGGAGGAGTGAGATGGGGAGAAAATTTGGAACTCAAAATCTTGTGGAAGTGAATGTTGAAAACTAAAAATAAATTAACAAATATTTCACTGCAAAAAAAAAAAGAAAGAAAAAAACACCTCCTTAAAATGCTATGTAATTCAAGCTTTTAAGTTCTGCCTGTCCATAGTACTTCTCATTTAAGCAGCTTTCCCAATTGAGAAGTTTTTAGTTGTTGAATACTTAAATTCATGAGAGCATTTTTACTCTCCCATTTTTCTGTGGAATAATAAAAATAATACCAATATATGCATATATATACACATATACATAGATATAGATATGTAGACAGATAGATAGATAGATAGATAGATAGATAGATAGATAGATAAAAACCATGTTCTGCATCTGAGGACAATTTAAGTGTTGAGCTATCTTTTCCTTGTATTAAGTTAGTAGTTTAAAATTTGTAAAACCAAAGATTTACCATGAAAAGATTCTACCTTTCAAAACAAAGGCAATCCATCACAAATGTGAGGAAGGAAATGAAAAATGTTTTATGATTTAGGGGGGAAAACTGCCTGGGATAAGAGTATATATTCAGAATATAATTTTGTGTTGTAATTTGATCACTGGAATTGAATATTTTAAAGTTTTTTTTCAATTGATAAAAATATATTTTCTTTTTGTCCCACACACCCCATTATAAAAAACAAATGAGACAAAACAAAAATCCTTGTTTTTGACAATAGGCATACTCAAGCAAAACAAATTTCTACACTATTTCTAAAAAAGTACTACATCTCAATCTGCACCCTGAGTCCACTGCCTCTCAGTCAAGAGCAGGGTACAATTCTTCATCATCATTCTTCTGGAATCATGGCTGGATCTTGCATTGATTCAAATTCTTGTGTTTATTTTTTTTTGGGGGGGGTGAGGCAATCGGGGTTAAGTCACTTGCCCAGGGTCACACAGCTAGTAAGTGTCAAGTGTCTGAGGCTGCATTTGAACTCAGGTCCTCCTGACTCCAAGGCCAGAGTTCTATCCACTCCGCCACCTACCTGCTCCTCAAATTCTTAATTCTTTCAAAGTTTTTGTTTTTGGACTGTTGTCACCATTGCTTAGTGTTCTCCTTGTTCTGCTCACTTCATTATGCATAATTTCATACAAGTCTTCACAGTTTCTCTAAAATCATCTTTTTCACCATTTCTTATGGCACAACAGTATTCTGTTATGTTCACAAACCAAAATTCATTCATCCATTCTTTAAAAGGAATCCCCTTAGTTTCCAATTCTTTGCTACTACAAAAAGAGCTGTATATATATCTTTTACATTTATGGGTCTTTTTCCTCTTTATTTGACCTCTTTGGTCTAGTAGTAGTATACCTGGGTCAAAGGTATGCACACTTTAAGAACTTCTAGGACATAATTCCAAACTGCTTTCCAGAACAGCTGGACCAATTCAAAGCTGCTCCAATAGTGTTACCTATTTTCCCCATAGCCTTCCTACCTTTTGTTATTTTCCTCTTTCGTCATCTTTGCTAGTCTGATGTGTGTGAAGTGGAATCTAAAGGTTGCATTAATTTTCATTTACCAAATAATTAGTAATTTAAAGCATTTTTTCAAATGGTTATCAACGGTTTGGATCATTTCCTTTGAAAAATTTCTTTGACTATTTCTCTATGGAGACAGCTTTGATCTTACCTTTAATTAGTTTGGATTTGAGACTTTTATAAAAGAAATTTGCTGCAAAGATTTTCTTTTCCCATTTACTTGTTTCTTTTCTAATGAAAATTTAGCAATTAACTCTCATAAGCCAGTTCAAGCTGCCTCCAGTAGAGCCACTCAAAAAAGAAAATCTTCTGTACATTAATGTTTTTTAAAACCATTGCCATGTTTTAAAAAAATAATCAAGATAGAAAAATAATAGCTTATTAAAGAAGAGCAATGTCACATTAGAAGGATACTTAGTGTAAGAGGTATTATATATACCCATAGTTTTTCCTAAGGGAACTAGAGGTAGTTGTATTTGACAGGAAGGATAATAACTTCTACAGAATAAAACATTTTCATTTCAAATAACTGACCAGAAAACCACATTTCTTTCATCTCATAAATTTTAAGAGCTGTTAACAAAACCTAAAAAAAATAGGAGGAAAAAAATAGTAATAAGCTTATCTCATGGCATGATCTTGTAACAGTTAAGGAAAAAATGCTGACTGGAGTACTAGATAAATTGGATTTCTAACTTTCTTGTTTAAGTTCTTTTGTTTTGTTCTTTTAGGCATCTATCTCCAAAATCAGGAGTTTCATTTCTGGACCACAGCGTCTGAAGCATAACAGATCCTAGTAATACTTAACACCTAAAAGTCATCTCAACTTTTTATCTGTTGTACATACTACAATTTCTTTGTGCCAAAAAGCACTATCAATTTTACAGAACAGCCCATCTTTCTGGAACTGTAGCATAGCTTTCTCTGATATTTCCAATATTCTACCTGAAGAACCAGGATTATTCAGCAGTATTGCTTGGATATTCTTCACCAACAGTTTTAGCTTATGAACCCTTGGAGGTTTAGGAGGGCACAAGTCCTGAGGAAGTGTTGAGGTATATTGCACATCCTGTAGAAGGAAAACAACAACAAAAAAGGAACATTTACCCAAAAGAATGAGAGAAAACAGGTGGTTTTGACATTCTAACACCCTACCAAGATAAAATTATTGAATGAGACAAATAGCCAATTTTCAGTCCATAAATTATGCACACAAATGGTAAGAATCCCTTTCAAAAACATACAATAATAAACCTCATAAGAAAACTAAAAAGTTGCATAATAAGAATCAAGTGAAAGGCTAAAACATGAAAATCTTTACTGAGAAACTTCCTCTGCAAATAGAAACAATTTATCTGTAACTTACAATCTCAGAGAGTTGCTTGGGAATTTAAATGATTTGTCTATCATCACAAAGTCAGTATGTGTCACAGAAGTAAGAGATGAACTCATATCTTCCTGAGTCCAATGCCATCCATCAGAACATGATGAAAATACCTTTTCACTGAGTAATATGTAATGATGTTTTATAACTGTATTGAATAAGAAAGTTACTTGTGTCTTAATCACTACTTTATTACAAGGCAGTCAAAAGGAATGAAATTCAGTAGGTCTAGAAGGCCTGGGAGTAAGAACAGGGGTTATGGGAGATGGGGAAATGCTACAAGACCATTTGCAAATTTCCAATGGCAGATCAACAATGACCTTGAAGTTGGGGCAGCTAGGTAGTGCAATGCATAGGGCACCAGCCCTGGAGTCAGGAGGACCTGCGTTCGAAACTGGCCTCAGATACTTGACATTTACTAGCTGTGTGATCCCGGGCAAGTCACTTAACCCCATTGCCTAGCCAAAAAACACCCAAACAAAAACAAACAAATAAAAAATGACCTTGAAGTAACATCAATATTAATAACAAAGAAAAGATTTACCTCTAACTTTTTTATGTCCACAATTTTTGTGCTTAAAACCACTGATGGGGAGACTGAACTAATTAGGTGTTTCAAAATATCTTTGAGGGTTTTGGATAGTTCAAGTGTCTCAATTATCTCATCCTAGGGAAAAAGGAAACATCATTATCAATATTTAAAAAGCAAACAGGGAAAAAGCATGCAAAATATGCAACTCAAATAACCACGATATAGCTACAAAGTGAAATCTGGCATCAGATTTCTTCCATTTGGGTCAAAAATGACATAGAATATAAAAATGTTATAATACAGCTTGACCTTATTTTTGGAAGGTTAAAAACAGTATCATAGAATTATAGAATTGTAAGGCATCATAGAAATCATGTTTATGGAGGAGGCAGAAGGATACAGGGAAAAAGGAGTTAAATTCAGATTCACAAGACCTGGGTTCATGTTTATGGAGGAGGCAGAAGGATACAGGGAAAAAGGAGTTAAATTCAGATTCACAAGACCTGGGTTCATCTTCTGGCTTTAAAAAAGTCACAGTCTCTCTGGATATAAATTTCCTCATCAATAAAATGAAAGGTTTGGAACAAATGACTTCAAAGGGTATTTTCAGGTTGAAATTGTAGGGCATCTTCTTTGTGATCACAGGTACCCAAAAACAAAATGGGAAAACTCATAATTTTATTTTAAGTTGTTTCATAGATTTTGTTAATGTGAGGTCTGTAGCATACTTATTCCCAGGGATATCTTGCACAAAAGAAGTGACACATAAGAATATGTATAGCTAGAAATTAGATGGTTTGGGTTAATAACAAGAATCAAGGATAATAGACACTTCAGACTCAGAAGAAGACAATGACACACAAACACCTACATGCAAAGCCTCAAAGAAAAATGCAGATTGGAATCAAACCCAACCAGAATTCCTAGAGGAACCAAGAAAAGATTTTTTTAAAAGAACAAAAAATTATTTTAAAAATCAAATAAAAGCTACAGAGGAAAAATTAGGAAAAGAAATGAAAGCAATGCAATAAAATTATGAAAAGGAAACTAACAGCTGGGTCAGAGAAGCACAAAAAATACTGAGAAAAAAAGTCAAAAAACTGAACTGGCCAATTGGCAAAAGAGGTACAAAATTTCACTAAAAAAAAAAAGCTCCTTAAGAATCAGAATTGTTCAAGTAGGAGTTAATGACTCCATGAGATATCAAGAAACAATAAAACAAAGTCAAAAGAATAAAAAAAAACAGAAGAAAATGTGAACTATCTCATAAAAAATTGACCTAGAAAATAGATCTAGGAGAGATAACTTACTAGATAACACCTTTCAAGAAATTATCAAGGAAAACTGTCTCAATATCTTAGAACCAGAGGGTAAAATAGAAACTGAAAGAAACCACCAATCACCTCCTGAAAAACATCCCAAAATGAAAAATCCTAGTAATATTATAGCAAAATTCCAGAACTCCAAGTCAAGGAGACAATACTGCAAGCAGCCAAAAAAGAAATAATTCAAATATTATGGGGCCACAGTCAGCATAACACAAGTAGGATGATCTGGTACTCCCATCTCTTTGAGAACTTGCCACACTTTGTTGTGATCCACACAGTCGAAGGCCTTAGAGTAGTCAGTGAAGCAGAAGTAGATGTTTATCTGGAACTCCCTTGCTTTTTTCCATAATCCAGAGATTGTTGGCAGTTTGGTCTTTAGTTCCTCTTCCAAAAACAAGCCTGCTTTTCTGGTGATTCTTGGTTCATACAATGCTGAAGCCTAGCTGGAAAAATCTTAAGCATAGTCTTATTGGCGTGTGAAATGAGAACAATTGTTTAGTAATTTGAATATTTCTTGGCATTGCCCTTCTTTAGGATTGGGATGAAAACTGATTGGCCACAGTTGAGTTTTCAAAATATTGAGTACATTTGAATCGCATTATCTTTTAGTATTTTAAATAGCTCAGCTGGAATTCCATCACCTCCACTAGCCTTGTTGTTAGCAATGTTCCCTAAGACCCACTTGACTTCATTCTGCAGGATGTCTGGCTCTAGATCAATAACCATACCATGTGGTTTTTGGTGATGTTAAGATCTTTCTTCCATAGTTCTTCTGTATATTCTTGTCATCTCTTCCTCATCTCTTCTACTTAGGTTAACTCTCTACTATTTTTGCATTTTATCATGCCAATTTTTGCATGAAACATTTCCTTAATATCTCTAATTTTCTTGAAGGAAAATCAAAGGAGAGATTAATAAAATTGAAAGCAACAAAGCCATTTAACTAATAAAACTAAGAGATGGTTTTATGAAACAAAATCATCAGTTAATTTGGCTTTAAAAAAAAACAATACCAAATTACCAGTATCAAAAATGAAAACAGTGAATTCACTACTAATGAAAAGGAAATTAAAGCAATTATGAGGAACTATTTTGCCCAATTGTATGACAATAAATTTGACAATCTAAGTGAAATGGATGAATATAAAATATAAATTATTCAGATTAGAAGAAGAGGAAATAGAATACTTAAATAACCCTATCTTAGAAAAAGAAATTGAACAAACCATAAATGAACTACCTAAGAAAAAATTCTTAGGATCAAATGGATTCACAAGTAAATTCTATCAAATATTTAAAGAACAATTAATTCCAATACTATGTAAACTATTTAGAAAAATAGAGAAAGAAGAGATCCTAATAAACATCTTTTATGGCACAAGTATGATGCTAATAGCTAAACCAAGAAGAGCAAAAACAGAAAAAAATACAGACCAATTTCTCTAATGAATACTGATGCAAAAAAAATTTAAATAAAATATTAGCAAGGAGATTACAGCAATATATCACAAAAAAACATACTATGACCAGATGGGATGTACACAAAGAATGTAGGGCTGATTCAATATTAGGAAAATTATCAGCATAATTGACCATATCAATAACAAAAGCATCAAGAATAAATACAGAATAAATCAAAAATAAATAGAGAAAAAGCTTTTGACAAAATAGAAGAATCATTCCTATTAAAAACATGAAAGAGCAGAGGAATAAATGCAGCTTTCCTCAAAATGAAAAGTAGAACCTATCTAAAATCATCAGCAAACATCTGCAATGTGGATATGCTAGAAGCCTTCCCAACAAGATCAGGAGTAAAGCTAGGATGCCCATTATAATTTCTGTTATTCAAATTTTACTAGAAATGTTAGCTATAGCAATAAGAAGGAAAAAAAATGGAAGGAATTAGAATAGGCCGTGAGGAAACAAAACTATTACTCTTTGCAGATGATAGGATGGTATACTCAAAGAATCCTAGAGAATAAAATAAAAAAATTACTTGAAACAATTAACAACTTTAGCAAAGTAGTAGGATATAAAATAAATCACATATGTCATCTGGATATCTATGTATTGCCAACAAAGTCCAGCAACAAGAGACAGAAAGACAAATTCTATTTACAATAACTGTAGACAATATAAAATATTTGGAAGTCTACCTGCCAAGACAAACCCAGGAACTATGTGAATGCAATTACAAAATACTTTTCACACAAATAAAGTCACATCTCAACATCTTGAAAAATATTAATTGCTCATGGGTAAGCCGAGCCATTATAATAAAAATGATAATTCTATCTATTAATCTATTTATTCAGTACCATACCAATCAAACTACCAAAAAATTATTTTATAGCACAAGGACATCAAAGGAATCAATGAAAAAAATGTGAAGGAAGATTGTTTAGCCATAACAGATCTCAAACTGCATTCATTATAAAGTGGTAATTATCAAAACAATATGGTACTGGCTAAGAAATAGAGTGGTGGATCAGTGGAATATATTAGATATTATAGTAAATGACCATAGTGATCTAGTATATGATAAACCCAGAGATCCAAGCTTTTGGAACAAAAACTCATTATTTGAAAAAAACTGCTGAGAAAACTTGGAAAACGGTATGGCAGAAACTAGGTACAGATCAAGATCTCATACCATATACCAAGGTAAGGTCAAAATGGGTACATGATTTACACATAAAGGGTAATACCACATGCAAATTAGGAGAGCATGGAATAGTTTATTTGTCAGATCTATGGTCAAGGGAAGAATTTAGAACCAAAGAAAATATAGAGAGCATTACAAAATGTAAAATAAATAATTTGATTATATAAAATTTAAAAGTTTTTGCACAAACAAAACCAATGCAGCCAAAATTAAAAGGAAAGCAGAAAACTGGGGGGAAATTTTTTTATAAGTATCTCTGATGAAGACCTTATCTCTCAAATATATAGAAACAGGACTCAAATTTATAAAACATACAAGTCATTCCCTAATTGATAAATGGCCAAAGGATATAAACAGGCAGTTTCCAGATGAAGAAATCAAAGCTATCCATAGTCATGAAAAAATGCTCTAAATCACTATTGATTAGAAAAATGCAAATTAAAACAATTCTGAGGTACCCCCTCACAACTATTGGATTGGCCAATATGACAAAAAGGGAAAACGATAAATTTTGGAGGGTATGTGGGAAAATTGAGACACTAATGCATTGTTGGTGGAGTTGTGAACTGATTCAACCATTCTGGAGAACAATTGGGAACCATGTCCAAGGGCCTATAAAACTGTGAATTCTCTTTGATCCAGAATATTGATCCAGAATATCCCAAAGACATTTTTTTTAAAAGGTAAAGGACCTATTTGTACAAAAATATTTATAACAGCTCTTTTTGTGGTTGCTAAGAATTGGAAATCAAGAGGATGCCCATCAATTTGGGAATGGCTAAACAAATTATGGTATATGATTGTGATGGAATATTATTGTGCTATAAGAAATGACAAGCAGTATGATGTCAGAAAAATCTGGACTCACACAAACTGATGCAAAGCGAAGTGAACAGAACCAGAATGCTGTACACAGAATAGAAATATTGTGCAATGAAGAACTGTGTAATGACTTACTATTCTCAGCAACACAATGGTCTAAAGACAATCCCAAAGGACTTATGATGAAGCATGCTCTCTGCCTCCAGAGAAAGAATTGATACTGTCTGAATAAAGACTGAAACACACTATTTTTCTTTCTTTCTTTCTTTCTTTCTTTCTTTCTTTCTTTCTTTCTTTCTTTCTCTTTCTTTCCTTCTTTCTTTCTTTCTTTTTTTCTTCCTTCCTTCTTTCCTTCTTTCCTTCCTTCCCTCTTTCCTTCCTTCCTTCTTTCCTTCCTTCCTTCCTTCCTTCCTTCTTTCCTTCCTTCTTTCCTTCCTTCCTTTCTTTCTTTCTTTCTTTCTTTTTCTTTCTTTCTCTCTCTCTCTCTTCTCTCTCTCTCTCTCTCTCTCTCTCTCTGGGATTTTTGCATTCATATTAATTAATTTTCTTTCTCTATTTTTGCTCTTCCTGGTTTAGGTTTCAGCACCATATCTGTTTCATAAAAAGAGTGGTAGGACTCCTTCCTTCTCTATTATTCCAAATCATTTATTTAATATTGGAATTAGTTTATCTTCAAATGTTTAGTACAATTCACTTGCAAATCCATCTGGTCCTGATGCTTTTTCTTAGGAAGCTCATTTATGGCTTGATCAATTTCTTTTCTAAAATGTGTTTATTTAGATATTCTATTTCCTCTTCTATTAATCTAGGCAATTTATATTTTTATAAGCGTTCTTCCTTAATTTGTTAAATTTATTTGCATATAATTGGGCAAAATAATTTCTTTGATTTCATTTTCATTAGTATTATATTCACTCTCTTCATTTCTGATGCTAGTAATTTGGTTTTCTTCTGACTGTGAGCTTCTTGATAGTAAGGACGATCTTTTGCCTTTCTTTGTAGTCCTGCAGTTAGCACAGCATCTGGCATATAGCAGATGCTTAATGAATGTTTCTTGACTATTTCTAAAGGTTTGGAAGTGAATATGAGGATAGAAATGGAGAAAAGAGTTTAAGAGGGTACTAAGAGAAGGGAAGTTATAATGCTCAAAGAACTCAAAGCTGAGAGTAGAGAGAACCCTGGATGTCCTCTCCAATCTCTGCCCTAAAGAAGGAAGAAAAATGGTGAAATATCACATACACAAATCAGACATGCCCTTTCTTGTACAAAACTGGAAAGCCGAAAAGCCACCTTCAGATTTGCTACCCAATGAGTTAATCTGATGCAGACTTGGAAGATTTGTAACATCCTCAATCTCCAGACTTCCTGAGGACTGGAGAGAGTTTAGGAAACTATTGTCTGATGATTTTGATCTCATCACTACCTTTGGAGGCAATGCCATCTGTCAAAAGCAAAAACAGCAAAGACAGGAGTTGAAGGCCTGATGACTGAAGAGATCTGCAACACCCACTCTGAGACAGGTAATCAGATAGGTAGATAGGGATCAGAAATAAATAAAAGGCCAGAGGACCAAAATGAGGTTAATAAGTAATTAATAAGTAACTGAGACTTCCTAATTTGAGAAAAAATTCATAAGATGTAGATCTGGACAAGATCTTAGAAATGATCTAAGCCAAGCTCATTTTTATAGAGTGAGAAATTGAGGCCCAAAGGTTAAATCCCAAGGTCACATAATTGCTATTACTTTGGATTCAAGATCCTCCCAGATACCAGCCCTGAACAAATCAGGAGTGAAGAGACCCATTCTCTTGACTAAAGCATTAGGAGAAAAGAATGGAACAAAGTTATAAGGAAAAGTATTCTTGAACAAAAGGAAATAAGCACTATTAAGGTTAAAAATACAAACTGAAAATCACATTTGATGTTTGTGGGCATTTCAGTTTGTGGGGAAATAATTTTTAAAAGATGTTGGTTGAATAATTTCAAAAATATGCATTTAAGATTAAATTAGCTCTTATATAGTCCTATATTTGGCAAAAGTATATATATTTACAATTATGTGGTTCTATATACATAAGAAAGTTCCAGAGAAAGGCCTGTAGTGCATATGAGGTTTGAATACGATAAAGAAATTTAAATTATATTGAAAACAAAAACAAAAATTAGTGTTCATGCAAAGGTCCATTCAAATCAAATTACTTTTCCAGTAAGCCACATTGAGTAGAAATAATAAAAAAGGAAAATAATATTTAACATTTATATAACACTTTCATATTTACGAAGTGCTTTACATATATTTTCTCATTTGATTTGATCCTTACAACAACTTTAGGACATGCTATTATTATCCCCTTTACAGATGAAGAAACTGAGGCTGAAAGAGGCTAAATGACTACCCCAGGGACATACTGTATGTGTCTGAAGCAAGATTCAAATTCAGATCTTTTTGACTCAGAATCTATGTTGCCAGGGGATTAGCAGAGTGAGTATAATGGAATGACAAAGATGAGAAATAAGTTAACCATAGCCTTAAAACCATGATAAAATGGATGGAGACATCATGATACAGTAGATCAAATTCTAGATTTGGAGTCAGGAGAGACATGAATTCAAATCTTGCTTTAAATGATCTCTAACTATGACCATCAAAAAGTCAGAGTCTCCATTTTCTCAGCTGTAAAATGTGAAAAATGTTTGTACTACCTACACCTACAGGACTTTTTAAAGAAAAATGCTTTCCAAATTTTAAAACACTAAACAAATGTGAGATGTCGACGATGATAGGAGAGAAGCCAGTTATGTTATGGATTAGGAAGGAAGGGACTGAGGGATTGAAGGTCACATTGAGGGCAAAGCACAAGTATATTAAATATTTCCTAATGCAATTTTCCATCACAGCAGCAGGACTGGTCCATGGCTAAACCTAAGTTAGCTGGATAAATATACATGAAGCAGACACAGATTATCAGTCTACAAGTGGTGACATCTTAGCAGCATAATTCTGTGATATGAGATATGTTGAAAATAATAAAAACTAACCTCCTGTATTGCTTTAGGCTGGATTTTTATATTTATCTCTGAAGCATTGAGGAAGGACCACTTTATCAATATGTCTTCTCTTTTCTCTTTCATATGAAGTTCTAGCTATTAATAAAAAAAAACTGATTATTAGGATTTATGATTTTACGGTCACTGTTTTAGCAAAAGTAGTTTTCAAATCAGTAGTTTGGTTCCTCATAATACATTATTAAATTTGCCATGGAAAGAGGGAAAAAACATTACATTAAATACTACTTAAATGGAATGGATACTTAATTTTTTTCTTACCACCCTCACCCTTCACATTCAATTAATTTCCAAATTGTGTCAACTGTACCTCTATATATCACATCTGTCCTTTTTCTTTTTCTCTATTCACATGGCTAGCACCTTAGGTCAGGCCTTCATCATCTCTGTTCTATTCTAAGGCAATAGCCACTTAAGTGGTCTCTTTGCCTCCAATTTCTCCTTCTTTCTAATCCACCCTCTTTGTTGAACTGAATTAGAGAAATAATTGCTATAGGTTCATAATAACTTCCTATCATCATTCATCTTTCCCTATAAGTCAAAGTGATTGTGTAAAGAAGAGATATTTTAGTTTCATTAATGTAACACAATTAGCAAACAATCATACAAAAGGGCAGATCATTAGGTATTAAAGTCTTTTGAAGACTAGCATTATTTTATGATTTTTCATTACAAAAACATATGAGAATAGGACACAGACCTGCCCCTGGTGTTAATACTAAATCTTTGATGATTGCATGTATATTAGCTATAATGCATATATTATATGTGGCCCACAAAATTCCAATCTGCAACAAAAATTATCAAGGCAGAGCTCCAAACATCATCAATCAATTTATTAGAGAGACAGGTGGCCCCTAATCAGTTGGGTCCAAGACCTTCCTCACAGTCCAGGCCCCTGGTGCTCAAGGAAACTCCTATGACTGCCTAATCTTCAGAAGCAGAACAGTTCCCATGATTGGCTAAAGGCAATGTCCATCAATCACAACCACTTTGTCAGCAAGCCTTTCAAGGGTTATTAACTACAAATCATCAACTATAGGCCATTTCATTGGGACTTTCCACGGCCCATCAGATATTAGTGTTTGGTGAGCTGTTTTATAAGAATCAAAGGAATTGTGGCTTTGAAGCAAAGGTCATTAGGGAGTAGGTGATAGTGCTTCACAGGTGCAGAAAGGCAAATGAATCTTATTTCAAAGTACTACACTTGGAGTTGGGAGGGTTGGGGGGTAATGCATTGATAATTCCTTATAACAGATCTAACAGAGTGTGAATCTATCTGATAAATCAGATATCATTAATAGTATCATCAATACATGGTAGATTCAACAATCATAACTCTTATCCTGACAGCATTAACTAAAATAACTAACTCAAACTTAACTCTACTCTACTTAATTCACTAATACAATCATTGATACCCATGAAATCACATGAAATGAACTGAGTAAATGTTGATTCATTGGACTAGGGGTATCAAAATTATCTTCACATACATTTTTAAATTGTTTTGGACAGCAGACATGATTGTATCACATTGATCTAAATCATTAAAATCATCAGAGGAAACTAGAAAAGAACACATAATTTCCAAGAACGTTGTTGCTCACGACCATGTGAAAACACAGAACATAATGAAGTTTCCCAGCCAAATATGGGATTTCCTTCAAAATGTTCCAACCCTTTTGGAGCAATTTTCTAATGACTTGCATCTCGAAAGAAAAATATGTCATGTTCAAAGTGCTTGTGATCGAAGGGTTCTCATTCCATTTGTCTCTCCCCACAAAAGAATAACAAAATAAAGCTGGAATAATTGATGAACAGGGAAGTCTAAATGAAAAATCTTTCTAAAATGTGTTTGTACACTTTCCTAACTTAATTAAAATGCAATATACTCTATTAAAACCATATTTCTTTGAAGAATGAAGTTCTTACAGTATCTTAGGGAAGTATTTTATGACTCACAGGAATATTCATGTATAAGCAAGAAATAATTGGACTGAATCTGTAATAGACTCAAAATATATCCTCAATGTTACTTTAAAAGAAATTAAATTAATCCCTTATAAGTTTTTCTTTTAAAAAAATTTCCTCTTTTTCCTTAAATATGAGAACTTTAAAATTCCAGTTAATTGAGGATTTTAGGTAACTGAGCTTCTGCTGAATTAGAGACATCTAACTATGCATATATTCATATTCTTATTAGTTTAACTTCTAAGTATAGTCTCATGACAGTATAAATTTGAAAAGATATTGGAGACATCACGGTACAACTAAAAGAACAGTGGCTCTGGTATCAGAGGACTTGAGATCAAGTCACCTTCTGATATTTACTACCTGTGTGACCTTGGCAAGTCACTAAACCTCTTTGGCCCTCAGTTTCCACATCTATAAAATGAGTCTGTTGGACTAAATGGCCTCTGAGGTCCTTTCCAGATCAAGGATTCTGTGAATAAGATGGCATATGAATTAGTAATTACTGACATCCTCTCAATCTGAATTTTTTGGGAGGAAGGAAAGGTAATAATACTATCTATGATTTTTCCAACTCTACATATCTTTAAATTTTATTCATTCATTTTCAGAATCATATCACCTCTACCCCTGATTTTATTTGTATATACATGGTCTCGTCTAGTTGTTCTTTCCAACTTAATTTTCTTGAGGTGATTTCAACTTTCTCATATAGCACATTGGGAATTTAGGAGTTGAGATGAAATGTGGTGATTTCACTGTCACTGGAAATAAGAAGAGTTCACTATAAAATAACTGTAGATGTCTTCCATTTCCATGTCAATTTGTGGCCTTCCTTCCAGTTTTATTTATAAATGCTCCTGGGATGATCTGGCTTAGTTGAGTCTCAAGCCAGGCTTATTTCAGAATTGTTTTCCTCTCCAGCACCATTTTGCGCTGTTTTGTGAGGTGACACAGTTACATCTGTATCTATAAAATAGCTCTTTTAAAAAGATACATGTAAAATAGCTCATGCCCTACTTAAAGCCACATTAAAGCCCTACTTAAAGCCAGCTTTTTTTTGGGGGGAGGTTGGTGGTTTTTTTCTGGTGGGTTGTTTTTTGTTTGTTTTTTTTAAAGATGTATGATACATTTTATATGGCACATAACATATATTACATAATTTGCGATGCTTTCCTTTCATTTCACATAAAGGAGGCATGGTTTGGGAAGGTTCCATGGCAAGTTTTCATGATATGAAAAGAAAAAACACTAAATTTTACCTGTAAATGAAACGGAGATAACTGTACATCATATGACTGACATTTTGAAGCATCAGATGAGGCTGAGAGCACATGGACAATAAACTGAATTGAATCTCCTTCAACATTATAGGATACCACCTGGGGGAGGAGGGAGGAGGAAGCATTTAATTAAAATTTTTAAATATAAAAAAACTTTATAGAGCAATAAAAATCTTGTGTATATATATATATATATATACAATTTACATACTTTTTTTGTTTGCCAGAATTCCATAGCTAGCTGTGAGTTTAAATTTTCTAATCTGATTAAATGTCATAGAGCACTTGAAAATCGGGAAACAGCATTCTAAAATGTCCTCTAATACAGATTAATTTTTTTTTCCCAGAAGTTCAACATGATGATTGTCAAATCAGTTGTTTTGATCCTTCTTCCTTTAGACACACTTACCAGCATGAAGTTTTTTATACATTCCCAGTCAGTAAGTCAATAACTCAATTAGTCAATAAGCATTTATTAAGCATCTAGTATGAGAACTTTATTAAGTGTTAAGGATACAAAGACCGAAAAAAAAAAAAGCAGTTCCTGTTCTCAAGGAGCTCCCAGTCTAATGCGGAGATAAAATACAAAAAATTACATACATAAGCAGAGAGAAAGCATTAGCATTTCCTGAGATCAGGTAAGGCTTCTTGTAAAAAGTGCGTTTTTAGCTGGCACTTGAAAGAAGCTAGGAAAACCACAAGTTAGATATGAGGAAGGAGAGCATTCCAGGCATCAGGGATAGCTAACTAAAATGCACAGAGTTAGAAGATGGAGTATCTTGTGTGAGAAACAGCAAATAGGCCAGTATCACTGGACCACAGAATTAGGGGGTTGGGGGTGGGGAGGGTGTTAAAGTATAAGAAAACTAGAAAGGTAAGAAGGGGTCAGATTACGAAGGACTTTTATGCCAAACAAAGGATGAATGGGGGATGGGGGGTGACATGGTGAGACCCTCATTTTAGAAAGATCAGTTTGACATCTAAGTGGAAGACAGACTGGAGTGGGAAGAGATTTGTAGCAGGGAAACCACCCAGAAAGCTTTACAATAGTCCAGACATTAGATGATGAGGGCCAGTGCAACAGGGTGATGACAGGAGTGGTGAATCAAAGCTAACACCTAGGTTGCAAACCTGATTGACTGGGAAGATGTTAATCCCCTTGACAATAACTGGAAAGTTAGAAAGAGAAGAAGCATAGAGTGTGAGAGAAAATAACAAGTTCAGTTTTTAGACAAATTTACTTTAAAATGTCTATGGGACATCCAGTTCAAGATGGCTAAAGGCAATTGGAAATGCAAATTTGGAGGTTAGGGAAAAGTTTAGGTTTGGTTAAGCAGATCTGATATTAACACTCAGTAAAATCTATTAGTCATATATGCTTTCCAAAAAGAAGTGCCTCAAATCTGGAAATCACAGTTATATAGCTGTTACAGAATTAATTAATTCAGAATATAAGCAATTGTTCTTATGTTGAACTTATACATCATCCTTGCTACATGTATATATTTGGAGGGAGAAAACAAGGAGGAAATAAGAAGATAGACTGGGATAAGTGATAACATGGGAGTTAGGGGAAGAGGGTAACTACCATGATTTATAGGCATAGAACACCATGTTAAAAAAAAAAAAACAACCCTAGTAGAATGCTAAGAATTTAAAACTTAAAGTTATTAGGCATGTTATATAATGAAGCAAAAAAGAATAATTCCAAAATTAATTTATTTAAGAGAACAAACATAAAATGTGAATCTTCTACAATTAAATTAAATTGTTAAATCAAAGTACATATGTGAACCTTGAAGGATTTAGAATTTTTTTGTTATTGCTAGTGATAGATTACTAAGAAATACATACCTATAATGTAAATTCAACCAATAAATAAGCACTTATTATTTATTATTATTATCAGTTATTATTAGAGAGGAATTGTTTTAATACTGGGAATATAAAGTCAATAGTGAAACAGCACCTGGCCTGAGGGGGCTTACATTATCATGGAGATGAACACATGTACATATAAGTATATATTTTATATACAAAATTAACACAAGGTAGTAGTCAGGAAGACATAAAATGTGGCCTCAGACACTTACCAGTTCTATGACCCTGGGCAAGTCACTTAAGCCTGTTTGCCTCAGTTTCCTCATCTGTAAAATGAGCTGGAGAAGGAAAGGGCAAACCACTCCCATATCTTTGCCAAGAAAACCCCAAACGGGGTCACAAAGAGTCAGACATAACTGAAAAAATGCCATTTTTTCATTTGCCGTTACTCAAGTTTCCTATCTGACTTACACCTCTCCCTCTACTTCACTCCTGTCTTTGTTCTTTGCTCTCACTGAGACCTCCATTTCCTCCATCCTTAAGTATTTTCTCAGACTGTTACCCCTTCTCCCTTCTCAATCTCAACTCAGTAGCTGGCCATATCAGCTCTACATTATCAACTTCTCTTGAATCTCTTACCCCCTTGTCCCACTGATGATCCCCTGTCAAAGCTCAGCCTTGAATTACTCCCACCATCTACTTCCTCAACTCCCAATCATGAGCTACTAAATGAAGCTAAGAAAATCTCACAACCATTTCTTCGTACATTAAAAATGTATGTAATCCAACCTCAATTTGTGGCAGCCAAATAGTCCTTTTATTCCTCCCTAATTGTTTTCCTAACTCCCTCCCCACATAAGCTATTCCAAATATCCTCTTCCTTCCTGAAGCTTTCTCACACTTCTTCATCCCCACCTTTCAGACAAGGACCTTGCCTCTTACTTTGCTGAAAAAACTGAAGCCATTCAATGTGAGCTTTCTCTTCTCTCCTTCTCATCTCAAAACCCCATGACTCTTTCCTCCTTTCACCCAGGCTCTGATAATGAGACACTTCTTGCCAAGGCCAACTCCTATAAATATGCACTTGATCCCATCTTCTACTGTTTTCTCTAGCAAACTGCATCTTTAACCATACCCTCTTCCCTTGTATCTTTAACCTCCAACAATTGATTCATTCTCTACTGCCTTTTTTAAAAAATCCGAGTTTCTGCCATCTTTAAAAAACCTGCACTAGACCCTCTCCCCTCCTCCAAGATATAATACTATATTTCTCCTTCCTTTCTCAGCCAAACTCCTTGAAAAAGTTGTCTACACTTGTCTACACTTCCCCTCCTCTTACTACTCTCTCACAGATTCTTTGAGACCTGGCTTTCAACCTAATTATTCAATGGAAACTACTCCTTCCAATGATTCCTTCATTAACCAATCTGATCATCTTTTCTTAGTTCTAATCCTTCTTGATCTGTTACATTTAACTTCCAAACATTCTTCCCTCTTGGAGTTCTTGTCACACTCTTCTTGTTAGTCTCCTATCTATAGGACCATTCCAACTCAGACTATCATTATTGGCTATTAATTGGCTGTCATTATCATAAGTGAACTTTTAATTTCTTTTCTACTGGCTCCAGTACAGCTGTTTTGTTTTTAAAGAAAGTGAGGTAGCCAAGGGAAGCTTTTTTCTTTTGGTGGAATTTAGCGAAGACCTAAAAATTTAACCCAGGTGATTAGTTAATGATAAAAGAATTTCTGGCTCAGTTTTATTTATTCATGATGAGTATTTGCTGACTAGTTGTAAACTCCAGGAGAGATTCTCTAGTGCTTACTGATCAATTTACAAATTTATCCAACAGAGACCTTCCCTTTTTAATATCAGTTCTGTGGTGTGTAAATCTGTACCTTTTCTGTTATGGAACTGGATAATGAGAAGCAGCCAATTGCATCCACAAGCCCTAGATGCATTTTGGAAGAGGTGGACCCTTCAGGCCACCAATGAAGGAGTGGGTTGTGGGTTAAATGGGATCAGAGCTGCAGTCAGGGGCAAGAAACTCATAAAATATTCTAGTTAAATCAACAATGATGTATGGTAAGGCAGGGATTTACTCTGTCTTGGTTGAACATTTACCCACCCTGCTAATTCAGTCACATACTGCATGTTTCAGCCCACTTTCCCCTTAAGCAGTTAATAGTAAAAGAACTTATAAATAGCTTATGAACAAAGCCTCTAAAAGGAAATATCCCCCAAATCCTGCTGACCCTGGCAAGGTGCTATGGCAGGGTCTGTAGAAAGGAAATACCCTAATAAAGTTTGGATGTATCACTTTGGTTTTGTGTGCCTCTGATGCAGTGGTTGCTTTGGTGACCCAGTCTCCAACACTTCCCTTCTGCCTTCTGTAAAAACTCCAACTATAGCCATCCTGCCCTGTCCCATATAAGATGTCTACTAAGGCCACTCATGGTCCATTAGGTTTGTTTGGCTTTTTTTTTTTGTTACCCTAAGACTATGCTCCAGCATATCATAAACCAGTTAAAAAATGCCTCTGCATGTTGATAAGTATGCCTGGCAGCAGCACCTGTCAATGGATATCTGAATAATTTAACATTATCATTCGTATCAAGACCCTTAACTGTGGTATGAGCCAAAGAAAACTAGTTTGACTGGTATGGTCCCAGCCTCCCAGGATGCATGTACACGAAGACTAATAAACCTAGAGACTTGACATTGTCCTCTTCAAACTTCTTTCCAGATGACATAGTTAGAGTTAAGTTCCATATGTTCCTGCCCCTCATTTCTCCTGTTTTATTAGCTAACTTAGAAAACATCCTCATTTCTCTGGTCCCAACCATTTTCCTCTAGGAATAACTCTTGGTGCCAGTCGGCTCTTCATTTAAAACTCTATATAAGTTGGTCTCTGGGACTTCAACTGGAGCATAAAAGCCACTGCAGTGGTTCCACATAAAGACGCTATCCCACAGTGGCCTTCAGCCAAGTGGACTCCATTACATTGTTTGCGCACCCAAAAATGTTCCATGTTGATATTATTATCCTCTCCTTGTAAATAGCACTAAAGTTGTGTTAACTTGTCTTCATCCAAACTCTCTTACATTACATGTAGGTGACCCCCTAGCTTCTATGCTATGCCTTCTTCTCTCCCCTCTCTATCCATTCTTTTTTTTTTAATTTTTATTTTTTAATTTTTTTTTTTTGGCTAGACAATGAGGCTGCGTGACTTGCCCAGGGTCACACAGCTAGGAAGTGTTATGTGTCTGAGGCCGGATTTGAACTCAGGTCCTCCTGAATCCAAGGCCAGTGCTCTATCCACTTTACCACCTAGCTTCCCCCTCTATCCATTCTTGATAACCTCATCAGCCCCCTCGAGTAACTATCATCTCAACAAAGATGACTCCCAGATCTACACAACCAGCTCTAGTCTTTCCCAGGTTTTCATCTCTTAATATCAATTGCCTATTGAATATTTCAAACAGGTTGTCCCGGAGACATATTAAACTCAACTCAACATGGTTAAAACTGAGCTCATTACCTTTCCCCATAAATCCTTCCCTCTTTCAAACTATCATATTTCTGTCAAAGGCACCACTACTCTGTCTCTCAAGTTCATAATCTGAGTATCACCCTCAAATTCTCCCTCTCCCTCATCTCACTTATCCAAACAGTTGCCAAATCATTGTTATTTCTAAAATAAATAAACTTGTATTACATGTCCGCTATGTGTCAGACACTGTGTTTTACAAATATCATTCCATTTTTGTCAATCAGTCAATACTTATTAAGTGCTTACTATGTGCCAGGTGGTATGTACGGATGTTCAGGGAAGACTAGTACCTTTGGTGTGAGGGCTGCTTTCCACCTTTTCTGTCCACCTGATTCACCCAACTCTCACCTGTGGCTTCAAGGAGCTGTAACATGTGCAGCGGCCTCACCCCAGTAAACCATTTTGGCAGACAAGCTAAACCAGGTTGAGGGTAACTGAGCAGTCTCAAACCCATTAGTGAGTTACAGGGGTGTCTACCCCAAGCATATGAAGACTTCCCCCAGCAGAATGGATAGATGAGAACAATTTGTTCCAATAGCCATGAAGGCAGCTGAAGCAGGTGCTGTGGAGTGCTTGGAGTTTGGTTAGACATCAAGACACCAAGGTCATCCACTGCATCCCGAGTCATCACCAGTCATCTTGACTTTTGTCTTGCCATTGGACTTCAATGATTCTAGAAGAGAGAGGGAGGCTGATGACTTCACACAACTCTGCCTCACTTAAATCCAGTTTATGAGTGAGTCAAACAACACCACCCATACCATTTTACCATTTTTACCTATGATAGACAAGTGACGAAGCAGCAGGTATGGATATATTAGGAACTGTAGTCACAACCCTGCACATGGACAGCTCAGCCTATTGGTTCATCTTCTCATTAGACTGAAGCAGCAGTAGGATTCAGCAGTCCCTGGGTGTCTGAGCAGCCTTTTTGAAGGACCACACTAATCATTTCCTGTTGTGAAGAAGGGACTAGAAAAGATGCCCTAAAAATTGTCTGCTACACTCAACCTAACTCTGGCCTGCTTATTGTGACAGGTGGGAATTCTACTCCGTAGTCATAACACAAAAAAAGTACAAAAACTTTTGCGAAGATGATTCTACTCATCATTGGTACATAGAATGTGCACATACTTATGGACAGAATGAAATCCAGTAGACCTGAAAGATGAACAGCTCTTGTTGCAAGAGAACTCAGTAGGTATCACATCCAAATAGCAGCTCTGTGTGAAACAAGGTTGGCTAATGAAAGCCAGCTTAGCAAAGTCAGAGCTGCATGTATGTTTTTCTGGAGTGGCTGCAGTTATGGGGAGTACCATGAAGCTGGCATAGGTTTTGCAATCAAAACTAATCTATTCAATAAGCTTGTATGCTGACCAAAAGGAGTAAATGATAGGCTCACGGCAATGTGATTGCCACTCGTAGAAGAGCACCATGCTACTATCATCAGTGCATGTGCTTCTTCACAATGAACTCTGATGAGGTCAAAGAAAAATTTTATGAAGACCTAAAGACCTTTATATTCAATGTGCCAAAAGAGGACAAACTTGTAATTTTGGGTGACTTTAATGCCAGGGTAGACGCAGATTATCAGATGCGGCAGGGAGTCCTTGGGAGGAATAGTCAGAAACAGCAACAGCAATAGCAATGGTCACTTACTACTGAAGACTTGTGTTTCTCATGACCTTCTCATCACCAGTACTGTCTTCCATTTACCTAAGCACAATAAAAATTCTTGGATGCACCCTCAAAGAAAACAATGGCATTTAATAGATTATGCCATTGTAAAGAGAAGAGACAGATAAGATGTGAGAGTGATGAAGGCGACGTGTGGCATAGAGGGCTGAACTGATCATAGACTTATCCTCTCTGAGGTAAACATTCAAGGCAAGATGACTACCAGAAGACTTACTGTCAATAGAAAAGGAAAGCTCACACCACATTGGCTAGCTCTTCAATGGAATATTCATGGAAGATAAGGAACAAGAGTCATTTAGGATGAGAAGGCATAAAATGAAACACTGGATTTTGAATAAAATCCACCTGAGGTTCAACTGTTGATAGCAAAAATATATTGTAATAGCTAGAAAGGTTAAATCTCTAGATTATTCAGAAAATTTCTTTGTAAGTTTTTTTTTCTTTTTGCTAAGCAATGGGGTTAAATGACTTGCCCAGGGTCACCCAGCTAGTAAGTGTCAAGTGTCTGAGGCCAGATTTGAACTCAGGTCCTCCTGACTCCAGGGCCAGTGCTCTATCCACTGTGCCACCTAGCTGCCCCCAGAAAATTTCCTGATGCAAGGTTTCAGGGTTGTTTTTGTTCAGTAATGGTAAATAAAAATAACTTCAATGTCCAGCTTTAAATACATTGCCCCCAGAGCAAGATATTATGGCTTACCTTCTGGACAGACTCGACGACATTCACAACTGGTTGAACTGCTAGCTCTAATGGCTTTTGAACTTGGTCCTCTTCAAATGTAAGAAATAATGGTCCCTAAAACAGGAAGAAGAGGAAATATGGCAATCAAGTATGACATTTCCTTTAAAAAAGAAGGAAGAAGAAAACATGTATTTTAGCTCTTTCAATAAATAAGATTTGTTTATATAATAAACATTTCCCACTCCATCTTGCTATATTACAGTTCAGTCTAAACACAAATATGTTTTTGGCTAAAGCCCTTATATTACTATATTTTCTACTTACAGGCGAGGCAAATCCCCAGAAATTAAATAATAAAGTATACTAACAAACTTAACACAAGAAAACCCATGTAATAAAACCATAACTAGTCATCAAATTCTTTTGTCTGTCTTTTTCACTTTGCCTCACAAGTCTACATCCTGAGTCCCTCAAAAAGTCCTTTAAGCGGATGCTGACAGGCACTTCCTTACTCTTCCCCAAAGAGGGGGGACTGGATGGGAGAGGAGGAATTGCATAAGTAAGGAGTCCTCTGTTGATATTCTTGCTGTCACAGCAAAGTCCTCATTCTCTCCAACATTTAAATCTAGGATGCCTCTAACTTGAAGCTGTATTATTAATAATGACAATTATTGTCAGTAATGCTTTGTAGAAGGTCAGATATATACAAAATTGGACATGAGGGAATTATGGAAAGATAGAGGAGTGATAAGTAACCTAGGAGAATTCTTCCCATTCCATTCCAATACCTCTGCAGCAAATAAACATGAAAAGAGTTCCCAAATGCTGTAAACTCAGCCAAGACAAGTAAGGAACAATTAAAAAACTCATCACAAGGTAAATCTAAAGAAAATAATAGCTGAAGACCAATTTACCAGCCTATCCTGCTCCCATAGACCTGTGTACAATTCCTCCCTATGACCTCTGTGACTACTGTCATTTTTGGCACCTGACTTTTGAAATTAAGCCCTTTTCAATTGTCCTAGTAAGCCCTCAGTCCTAGGACAGATGGATGTCTCACCACTTCAGCATGGTCCCATTGCTTCCAGCCTTCCTTATCCATTCCTAAAGTCCCTTTGCTAGCCCAAAGCCACCTGTATGGCTCCTGCCATTTTGAACACCTGGGTTGTTGGGGGTTTTTTTGTTATTATTTTGTATTTTTAAATATTGTGACCTCAACAAATGTCAGATTGCCTTATCCAAAAGAGAAAAAGAAAAAAAAAACAGAAAAAGGGTATTGCATACTATATACTGTGAATTCCCACAGTGGCAGGGCACAAAAGCACTAGGCCTTCTAAAATGTGGTAAACACATTTCCAGTAAAGACATTACAGAGAAATAGCATTTTTCAAGGAAAAGATTGATCTCAGTGGATGAATACTTTGAAATAAAGGAATTTGAGTCAAAACTTCCTGAGGTAGGGGAAGATAGACTAACAGATTCTGCAAGATGCCCTGAAACGACAATGGAGCAACTTAAAAAGTGGCTCAGAGGGGCAGCTAGGTGGCAGAATGGATAGAGCACTGGCCCTGGAGTCAGGAAGACCTGAGTTCAAATCTGGTCTCAGACCAAACATCTGACACTAGCTGTGTGACCCTGGGCAAGTCACTTGACTCCAATTGCCTAAAAAAAAAAAAAAGTAAAAAATGACTCAGAAAATCAGTAAAAGAAATAAGAGAAAATAGTAAAGAAATAATAATAGAAATTAACAAGTCCAGTCAGACTAGAGAAAGACAAAACTAGTAGGTTCTCCAAAAAAGAAAATAACAGAACTTGAAAGCATGCATCAAAAAGGACAAATAATGAGACAAATTAAAATAAGTGTGGAAGAACATAGGACAGCTCTACCATACAAGAATGCTGAAGGCAAAGTTACAATGCAAAGAGGTCAACTAAAGATTGTAAGTCTTCCAGAAAATATCACAATAAAGAAAACCTGAATATCTTGATCCAAGGAAACATGCAAAAAAACCCAAAAAAACTGCTGAGAAATAGTGGAAGCAGATAACAAAGTTCAGATTGAAAGAATTCCTTTCTCCAAGAAAAAACAGAAACCCCAAGAATAAATCAGTAAGAAACAATGAACTCAGATTTTAGGAATTCCCCATCATAGGTCACATCTTATATTCAGTAAGGGACCAAAAAAAAACCCCCTTTAAATTCCAAGGAGAAACAATCAGAACATTATGGCATCACTCTATGTTTGTAAGAAATCAAAGGAAATTGAAATATGATGTTTGGAAAGCAAGGGCATTTGCTAACATCCTAAAATAATACATCCTACACTGCAGAACCTAAACATACCAGATAGATAGATAAGATGCGATAGGATAAGATGCGATAGGATAAGATAAGATAAGATAAGATAAGATAAGATAAGATAAGATAGACAGACTTCAGCAAAAAAAGAATTTGAATCTTTCCTTCAAAAGAACCCAGTGGTAAGCAGGGTATTTGACTTGCAAACTACACAAACAGCATTAAGTTAAACACTTTCAGACAATAATGAAAGATTAGGAAATGAAATGTTTCTTTTTATGTACAATCACTAGAGAACAACACAAATGTTGAGTGGGAAGTATTTTTGTTATTTGCTTTTCTTTTTTTAAAACATCTTATATTGAGCCACAGTGAGAAGGCAAAAATCTAAAGAATCAGGCAAATGGTATAATCAGAAAAATCAAAAGAATAGCAGATGGAGGAAGTAGATTGTTTCAGGCAGAAAAATCTCATCTCCTCATTGATAAATCAATATTATAGGTAGCAGGAAAATGTAGAGGCATTAACAACTATAATAATTTGTTAAATAGAAGAAAATATTTTTAGTTTTTATTTTCATTTTTCAAGATAAAATCCTAATCAAAAGTCTTTCTTCACTACTTACTATGAATGTTGATCCTTCTTTTAAGCAGATTCAGTTAGAAGAAAATTCCCACATACAATAAAAATTTGTAGCAGCATTTTTTGTGGTAGCAAAAAAACTCGAAACAAAGTAGGAATGGTTAAACAGTAATGCAATATTACTTTGTTGTAAAAAATATGAATATGATGAAAACAGAGAAGTATGGAAAGACTTATATGATCTTGTAATCTTTGGCTCCAAGGCCCAATTGTATGGAATCCTCTCCTCACTGGTGACATCCAATCTCTTGACCTCTCAATTCTCTCTCAGGCCATCTGCCTGGTACTTGTTACCCTCCTTATCAATTCACTACCTTAATCTCCACAAAAGCTCTTCCAAACCTTTTCATCCCTCCTTAAATTTCTCATAAATCCCCCTTCCCCCATACTCTCAATTGAGAATCTTGCCTCATATTCTACAAAAAAAAATTTAAGGATTTTCACCATGAGCTCCCTCTTATTCCTGCTTGTTCATTTCCTTTCCCTCAGATGCCTTCTGCCACCATCTCTTCCTTTATCCCTGTGTCACCCGAAGTGGCCTTACTTCTTACCAAGGTTATCCCTTTTACCTACATAAATGATCCTATTCCATCTCATCTCCTCCAACAAAACAACCCCTCTGTCATTCTCACTCCATTTTTAATCTCCCCCTGTCTACTACTAGCTGCTTCCTACTGCATACAACATATCCATTTCTCCCCCATCCTGGAAAAAACCCCTCACTTGATCACTCCATCTCTGTTAATTATCATTCTGTATAATTTGTTCCCTCTGTGGTTTTAAACTCTTTGAAAAGGCCATCTACAAAAGGTGCCTCTACTTTCTCTCATTTCGCTCTCTTCTTAACTCCTAACAATTCATCTTCTGACATCATCATTCCACCAAAACTGTTTTTTTCCAAATAATAATAATCTCTTTATTGACAAATCCAATGGCCTCTTCTCAATTCTCATTCTCTTCAACCTTTCTGCAGCCACTGAAACTACTGATCATCCTCGTCGACTTGATAACCTCTTCTCTCTAGGTTTTTGGGACACCACTCTTGGTTCTCCTTTCACTTACTGAAATGTTCCTTTTCCTTTGCTGGATCCTTCTTCTGATCACATTCTCTAACTGTAGGTGTCCCACAGTTTCTGTCTTGAACCCTCTTCTCTTCTCTCGCTATACTATGTCACTTGGTGATTTCATCAGCTCCATACATTTAATTACCTTTCTATGCTAACCATTCTCAAATATACCTATCCTGCCCCAAACTCTCTGCTGACTTTCAATCTCCTTTCTCCAACTGTTTTTCAGTTATCTTGAACTGGTTGTAAACATCTTACCTGTCACACATCTTAAATTCAACATATCTAAAACGGAACTCATTATCTTTCCTCCTAAACCCTCCCCCTCCCTCCTATATCATAACCCTATTACTACCAAAGGCAGCTCTCTCAGTCCCTCAGGCTCAAAACCTCGGTATCTTCCTTGACTCCTTACTATTCCTTACTCTCATATCCAATCTGTTGCCAAGGCCCACTGATTTCACCTTTGCAACATCTCATTTTATCATTTCATCTTTGCAGTATGCCTTTTTTCTTCTCCGACATTGCCAATATTCTAGTGCAGGCCCACATCCCCACCTGCCTGAACTACTGCATTAGCCTGCTGGTGGCTCTGCTTGCATCTACTCTTTCTCCACTCCAGTCCAGCTTCCGTTCAGCCATCTAAGTGATTTTTATAAAGTGCAGGTCCAAACCTGTCACCCCCTTGCCTCTGTTTGGTGTTCAAATCCTTTCAAACATAGTCCCTTCAAAAAAAATATAGCATAGCCCCTTCCTACTTATCCAGTCATCTTTTATCTTACTCTCTGACTTAGATTCTTTCATCCAGTGACACTGGTCTCCTTGGTGTTCCACACATAAGACAATCCATTTCTTGGCTTCAGACATTTTCTTCAGCTGTCCTCCTTGCCTGAAATGCTCTCCTAGCTCCCTTTAAGTCCCAATTAAAATCTCACCTTTAACATGAAGCCTTTCCCAGCCCCTTTAACCACTTCCTATTTATCCTGCAGAAGTGTATGGGGTGTTCAGGGAGGATGAGCACCTCTGGTGTGAGGGCTTGCGAAGCCCTTTTAGGGGTGGCTCATCCACCTTTGGTGTCCAACTGCCACCCAACTCTCACCCAGGGCT